AGTGAGGCTTTAACTATGTCCACAGGGCATAAGCACAGCAGCCCGTGTCATCCAAGGATTGTACATAATAAAATCCAAATCTAATGAAGAGAATGATATTAGGAGGACAGTGGAAACTCCAAATCTATTTGCAGGGTCCCCACATGGATTAAGCTTCTGTTGAATCCCCTCTGACCATATGAGGTAGTTAGTTTATTGTTTCAACCTGGCCAATAAACACATGTGGGATTAATTGAAGGGCAGAGAGATAAATGGCTGGGGAGTCTAGCCTTTCTTGTCTCTTGCTCTTTGATCATCGGACCAGTATGCAGCTACCTTGCTTGTTCTGTGCCTCAATTTTCAAGCTATGCTACCTGTGGGACACCTAACCTGTGGATTGTGTTGCTGTAATTTGAGGTTCCTTCAAGAAAAAAAAAAATTACTCAAAAGGACATTAGCTAGTATATGATTGAATATTTAACCTTTAAAATGTTCTGGTCTTTGCCTCTATAATAATAGCTCCCAGTGGAAGTTTTCTACAGGATTGAGGTAGTTCTGAAACCCTCAAGTGCATTCTGTATTGCATCATAAATTAGAGTAGACCTCAGGTACTACAGTGTCCCATTTTAAGAACATCTATTTAGGATAAAATTCAGAAATAATCAGTTAATGTACCTATCTTCAGAAGAAAGAGGCTAACTGTTTTGGATATTCTTCACATTTAAATGAAAGAAGAGAAGAAGAAAGAAGGAAAGAAAGCTATACTTCTGGGACATTGCTTTCCTAAAACATATCACAGCGGAGCGATGCTGCAGTAAGAATAAAGGTGAGATCTAGTTGCATGTGTTTAGCACTTCTAATTTCTACCTCAAACGAATCTGCTACTCTTTAATGTTAGGATTATTTTAAAGGAGCTCCATATCTTTCATTCTGTTTTTATAAAAAGTAAATATATCAATGGTTTGGGGAGCACCACATCTTTGATTTAAATTTGAATGTAAGAAAATGACTGATATTTTTCCCCATTGTGAATTAAGAGGAGAAAGGTACTGATAATCACAGTAAGTCAAATGTAAAGAAATAAAAGATGGTGAGTTTCAGAGACAATCTTCACTGACTTTAGAGTTTTGAAAACAGAGTGATTTCCATACTCAGCTTGGATGAATTTCTTCTTTTGTATATGATCCTGGAATACACTGATGTAAGATTCAGTATTAGGGACACTAAAATGAAAAAGTCTCCATTCATAACCTCATTCCTTAAACGTCTTCAAGTTTGAAAAATCCACCCAGATCTTCTTCAAATCTCACTAAGTCTGAAATCCACTCAGATTTAAGCCACCACCACGACCTTTTCTGGATAAACTCCAAAGTCCTGGAAAAAGATCTACTGCTATAATTTCCATTTATCATTTGTACTAGAATTTTATTATTGAGTGTTTTCTATCTTAGTTCTGTTTAACTGGAGATGAATAAGCTACTCAATTTGTTTCAGTTAACCTTTTGATTAACTCTACTCTATAGAGTAGAAAGAACGGATATATGTACTTTATTTTATGGATAAGAATTTAAGGTTTTGAAGAGCGAAATGATTTGCTTAAGATTACAGTCAACTGCAAGAATAGTAACTTAAACAAGACAGGATAATCTTCAAACCAGGGCTTTTTCTATAGCATTCACTTGTTAGGTGCCTTCGAGGAAGCCCAGGCAAATGTAACTAAACACTGTCGGGTCCTGTGCCAGCCTCACAATGAATCCCATGTCGGAGCCCATTGTTACGACCGGTATATCAGTTCATCTTATGGAAGGGTTTCCTCTTTATCATTGACTACTTTCTAAGCATCACGTCCTTCTCTAGGGACTGGTTCCTCCTGATAGGATGTTCAAAACATGTGAGACAAAGTCCCATCTTTGCTTCTAAGGAACATTCTGGTTATAGCTCTTCCTAGACAGATTTGTTCATTCCGCTGGTGGTCACTACATCATACAAAATCTTAACATATTAAAAGATTATACAGGTTTTGTTACCCAGCTTATTCATCCTACTTATTTGCCAGGTAATTGTCTTGGTGAAGATTTAGGAATTGAACAAAGCTTTATTTACATAATCTATAACCTTCTTGTCCATTAAATGCATTTTATGCTCTTCACTCTGATGCATATATCTAAAACTTGTGGGAATATATAAAAGTGTGCTTTATTTTTAACAACTCTGAAGGCAGAATCAAAGCAGTATCATTTATTTGCAAATTTACACATTATTTGTTCATGTGGGTAAGAGTAGTTTTAAAGAAATTTCTTCTGGTGCACAAATATAAGATAATCTATTTTTTATCAGGATCAGACACAGAAATAAAATCTGAGAAAACATGAAGTAATTTTTTGTTTCCTTTGTTTTGTTTTATTTTGAATTTTAAACAGTTTTATTGGGATATATTTCACATATAAAATCAATAGTTCAATCCACATGAAGCGATTCTTAATTGACTCAGACATAGTACACTTCAATGAGGATCGCATTCAAGGGGAAGCACAAAACACTGAAGAGTGAATTAAAAGCATTTTAAATCTGTAGAAGAGACCACTAGAACAAAATGGTTGAGAAGCACCTCCCTTGATCGATCTATCATGCAAAGGGTAGGAGAGCTTATGATAAAATGGAGGGTAATAAAGTAAAGAACCCTGGGAAGAGGAGTAAAGATAAGAAGGTGCACAAACAAGAGAAAGATGATAAAATAATAAGCAGAAATGTGGCAGCAAACACAGATATTAATGGGAGAAGGAGAAGAGGAAGCACAGGTAAAAAAAGAAAATCAAATGTAAAAGGAATAATTGATAAAAAGTAGTGTGTGAAGATACAACAGGCAGGAAAGAAGTGGTAGAGACAGAAAATATGAAACAGGCAAGAGGAAATAGGTGGCCAGAAATGAGAGAGTGCACCAGCCTACGAGGGTGATCAGACGCCCGAACTTCTGGCTCCCCCAGCCACTCTGACAGCAGTCTACACAACCCAGGCATGTGCACTGTTGCCCTCAGGCGCTTCTAGTGTGCACTGTGAGAAAGAGAGAAGGCATATGGGCACTCTCCCAAGCCCTGCATCTTTTAGTGCCAGATTGCATGTACGGCTGGAATAAGAAGGAAGACTGGCGCTAACAGGAAGCGTTCATATTACTGTGGCAGCCTACACTGACAATACATCCCTTTTCTGACTGAAGCAGAAAGCTTGTGCCTGTGAGATACGACCTTCTGAGTCTTTATCAGAGGAGCTAACTTTACACCAGGAATGCTCATCTGATACGTGTATCGATTCCCTACCCCTGGATCTGTGATGAGCATAATGTGGGAAGCAGAGTTACGGAAGGTACATAATAGAAAGTGGGAGAGGGGAAAAAAAAAGATAGCAGATAATTAAGTGGTATGGAATTCAGACTTGGGTAGAGAGGTAGATGATCAGAAATAAAAACAAAGGAAGAGTAGAGGATTCTCTGAGTGCTCCTTGAATCTTAAAATGGTAAATCTTAGGAGCATAAAATAACTGTCCATGGACAAACTATGAAATAGGTGGTGAAACTTTCTGACTTAGAGCAGGTTACTGAAAGCATGACGGGGAGGTAAGCCGGTGAAGGCCACTGAGTACCTACCTGGAGAAAAGACAGGGGGAAGCTACTAAAGGGAGTTGAAAAGGCATCAAAAAGACTTATTATCTGATTTTCATTTCCTTTCATTCACTGTGTGTGTTTATACCTGCATAAGTCTGTGATCCCATGCATCAATATGTACACCCACCCCACAATCTTTGGCTAATAGTTTTTTTAAATGTTACTAGCCGTATCTAGTAGATCTTATGATGTTTCCTAATTGGTATTCTATAAGATATAAATAGAAGGCCTACATTTCTCATTATCTTTTGTTTTGGGTTCTTTTTTCCCTGCTGGTCATTTCTCATTATTTAAAAAAATGTTTTAAAATCTTTTCTTGCTTGCTCCAGTTTCTAGAGATGCCACAAATAATTTAAGTTAAAAAATGATTAGCAACTTCCCCACCCCTCATGCAACCTCCCAACATAGATATTCCACAGCATTTTTTTAAGAAGTTACTATATTGATATAAAATTAACATTATAAAAGTCACCATTTCAAGTGAAAGTTCAATGGTCTTAAGTGTATTTGCAGGGTTATATAAGCATCATGATAACCTGAATTTGGAACATTTTTATCACCCCCAAAATAAATCTCATGCGCATTAATAGTCACTCATTATCCCAATCCCAGCCCCAAACAACTACTATTCTACTGTCTAGCTCTATAGATTTTCCTTTCACATAAATGGAATTACAGCATATGTGCCTCTCATGACTGGTCCGTTTTAACTGACCATGAGGCTTGTGAGGCTTGTTCAGAGTGCTTCATGTTCTTGCAGTGATGCTGAAAAGGGCATCAGACCACGACAATATGACAGGGACTAGTAAGTCATGAATTCAGGAAACGAAGGAGAAGACCGACAGGAGCAACTAGGTATTCTTCACAAACTGAAGGACCTTCCAAAACGCGTTGTTCTCTGGGGATGAGAAGTAGGAACCAAAAGCCCTGCAAATAACCTGAGCATCAGAACATCTATCAGAAATAGTGCACGGGTACCACAACCACCACTATCATCAAAAAAACAGCAACAAATAAAAAAAAGATAACTTTAATAATGTGTTCCAATCAGGATATTTTCCATATACTTCAAAGTATGTACCAGTGGTAGGGCAAGGACATGCCAGAGTCCTATGGAGGAGTAAGTATATTGTTAAATGGAAAAAAAAGTGCTATTTTATGAATGGTGCCTAAGTGTGAATTCGGTAAGTTGTACAGTAGATGTGTTTACCCAGGACATAGGAAAGTGATGGGCATTGATTGCTAATTGTTTCAGGTTGGAGAAGTGTTGGTTGTAGCAAATCATATTTTCCACTTGAAAACAGGTATGATGTTTGGCTATAATAACAGGCAATGTTCTTCTTTCTCTGTAGATCAAGAAGTCATGGAGAGGGACAATGGCACAGTGGTGACCGAATTCATTCTCCTCGGTCTGACCCAGTCGCAAGATGTTCAACTTCTGGTCTTTGTGCTCGTCTCAGTTTTCTACCTCATCATTCTCCCTGGAAATGTCCTCATCATTCTCACTATAAGATCAGACCCTGCCCTCACAGCACCCCTCTACTTCTTCCTTGGCAACCTGGCTTTTCTGGATGCATCGTACTCTTTTATTGTGGCTCCCAGGATGCTGGTAGACTTCCTTTCTAAGAAGAAGGTGATTTCCTATAGGGGCTGCATGACTCAGCTCTTTTTCTTGCACTTCCTTGGAGCTGGGGAGATGTTTCTTCTTGTTGTGATGGCCTTTGACCGCTACATTGCTATATGTCAGCCTTTACACTATCCGACTATCATGAAGCCTAGAGCCTGCTATGCATTATTGTTGGCTCTTTGGATTGGGGGCTTTGCTCATTCCATTGTCCAAGTGGCTCTTATTCTACATTTGCCCTTCTGTGGTCCAAACCAACTGGATAATTTCTTCTGTGATGTCCCTCAGGTCATCAAACTGGCCTGTGTAGACACTTTTGTCGTGGAGCTCTTGATGGTCTCCAACAGCGGCTTGCTCACCCTTCTGTGTTTCCTGGGTCTCCTGGCCTCCTATGCTGTCATCCTCTGCCGTATCAGAGGACACTCTTCTGAAGGGAAGCACAAGGCCGTGTCCACGTGCACCACTCACATCATCATCGTGTTTCTCATGTTCGGACCTGCCATTTTCATCTACACTCGCCCCTTCAGAGCCTTCCCAGCTGACAAAGTGGTCTCTCTCTTCCACACAGTCATTTTTCCTTTGATGAACCCAGTGATTTATACCCTTCGCAACCAGGAAGTGAAAGCATCTATGAAAAGGTTGTTGAGTAGGTACAAAGCTTGCTGAACGGAATAGAAGAATGAGAAAATCATGACAGGAGAAAGGCCACCTGAAATTAAATTATTTATTCAAGCTCTCAATCAATCATGTTTTTAAGGAAATGTTTTATTTGATACGCAGTTCCCATTTTGGAGCACTAGTTTAATCATATGAATGAAACAGGTAAGATTCCATTTCTGGAGTTCTGTCAAGTGGATAAAGACTGGTTAACATATGAAGCAAACAGTGACGAAAGGGAGACAGAATACTCTGACACAAGTTGAAGATCGTGTTACGCTAGAGTTGGACAGAGGGAAAGAGATAGTTACTTTACTTTTAATTGTCGAAGAATGTCTTGTTGAATGGTTTATTAGATGATCTCCAATGACATGGATGGGTCAGCATATAATTAAATTATAAGCAGAGTGAATGGCCATTATGTGGACCTAAAAATCTTAAGATATTGATACATTTGAAGATATAAACAGATTGGAGTAGGTGAATTGTAGTTAGTGAGTGTGAAAATGCCAAGAAATTCATGCTGTTAGAGAGGTTGGTATGGAGAAAATATTTGAGGCGATACTGAGAAGTTTAGGTATTTGAGGTAATACCAAGAAGTCTAGGTATGTCTCATGCTGAGTACCTTTACTTCTAGGTCATTACAGCAGGTAAGGCAAGAAAATATGTGTATACTAATCCGTGTACACACACACACACACACACACACACTCACACATGCACACACATATGTATATACTTGTGTTTGTAACTATCTATATCTTTATTAAGTTAAAGAATAAAATCAACTAATGCAATATCACAAGGATGGTTCTAGCCTCCTCTTCTTGCTTATTTTCAAATTGTCACTCAAGAATATAAAACCTGTAGCTAACCAGTTGTCATCTATATATTTAATTGTTCAATTCCAGTATACATATATAGTACTATAGTGTTTCAAACCTGTGCTTTCTTGGGAACAACTGTATTGATTAGAGGATAGTGGTGATGTGCAGTCCTTTCCTTTCAGAGACTCTATACATTTTCAAAGTCACTTATGCCAGGACCTTCCCACCACTCTTCCACCACTTTGTTGAGGTTGTTTTGCACATTTACAATGCAGTTAGATTCCATAGTGCCTTCTTTTTGTCCAACCTAATAGTCTTGGACTTAATTTGCTGTGTTTATAATGTTTATATTGAAAGTGATTATTATTGACAAGACTGGATTTAAATTTGCTGTCTTGCCAACTGCTTGCAATTTATATTTTACCACTTAACTGGTTAAATTAATCACTATTTAAAATTGTATTTTTCTTCAATATTGGGTGTGTTTTTTAAAAAAAAATAGTGATTGCCCTAGCATTTATAATTAAAAGATTAAACGAAAAGAAAACAATAATATTTCCATCAATAGATTTTGACTCATAGCAGCCCTATTGCACAGAGCAGAACTGCCCATATGGTTTTCAAGGTTATAACTCTTCAGAGAGATGTGCTGCTACATCTTTCTTCCATGGATGAGTTCAATCCATTGACCTTTTGGTTAGCAGCCAAGCACTTAACCATTATGTCCCCAGAGTTCTTCTAGTAGTTGCAATATATATCTTTAATGATCTAGAGTCTACCTTCAAATGAGACTTTACTTCTTGCTCTGAATTTAGAAAACTTAGATCAATGTATCCCTATCATTTTTCCATTGTTATTAACTTTACTTTCATCTTTGCTATAATATGAACAGAAAACACACAGTGCATTGTCAATTGCTACTATTTTTGCTTTAGACAGTTATAGAGGAAATATAACACAAATGAATTTAATTTTTTATCTTTATTTATACTAGCCTCAGCACTCTATATCTTTATATTGATGTATGTTTTTCTCTAGTATTAATGACTTCTGCTTAATGAATTAATGAATTCAGACCATCTGGGAATAAAGGTATTCATTTTCAAAACTTACGTGAGAAAGTATTTTTTTTCTCCTCCATGTTAAGATGAAATTTTCACTAGGTATAGGATTTTAGTTGTTATATTTTATTTTTTCCTTTATTATTTTGAAGATGTCCTTTCATTGTCCTTTGATTTATACAGATTCTTTTCCCCCCGTTTCCATCATTTTTATTTAGTTAGTTAGTTTTTGTGCAGATTCTTATAAGAAACCTATTATAATTTTTATTTCTTCCTCTATATCGGACATGCAGTTGTTTCCTCTAGCTAGCATTAAGATTTTCTGTTTTAACTGATTTTTATCAGTTGACTATGAGCTGTTTTTTGGCTGGTATTTTTGGTCCTGCTTCCTTTTCTTTTTAAAACTCTTTTTGGACATCTGATTTAGCATCTTTCAATAATCATGAAATGTTTTTATATGTATTTTCTCCTTATATTACTCCTTAAATGGTTTACTTTTGGAATCTACTTAGAAACTTATTGAACCCTTCAGCTGTTAGAGAGCTCTTCTGTTTCATTCTAGTCACTTTTGTACACTTTGGTCGTTTTCTGTTTCTATTGGCCTGTCTTCCAGTTCAGTATATTTTTCTTTAGTCATGTTCAATCAACTAATAAGTTCATCAATGGCATTCTTGATATTACTGTGGCTTAAATTCCTAATAATCTCATTTGATTCCATGTTACAGTTTACTTTTCTCTGTTGAAAGTATTCATTGACTAATCTATGTTTCCACCTTTTCATTAGATACTTTAAGATATTAATAATATTATTAAGTTCTCAAACACATCCATGTCATATCTGGGCCTGGTTCTATTGATCCCTTTGCCTCATGACAATGTTTTCCCCTTTTCGTCATGGTTTGTATGTACTTCAAATTATTTGTGGTGAAAGCTGAAAATCTCTTTTGGTACAATAAAGAGTAAGATAAATACATTTTATGGCTAAATATGAGTAAAACGTTGTTTCCCTGTGTCTTTAGCTTTAGGCTTTGGATCGAAATGATGAGGATGGTTCCTAGCTTTTGTAGTTATGTCAGTTCATCAAGGTTCAAATCCATCTCGCAATGTAAACTTAGACACTTTAACAGTGATTTTCTCCGCTTGCAAAGCTTTATTATTGGAAAACACTACATTAATATAGAACCTGGTATAGTCTTCCCCATGTTGATTTTATACATGCTTGTAAGAAATTTTCATCTTCTGTATATTCTATGATAAACTTACATTTGTTTATATCTCCTTAAGATTTTTTAATTTTATTCTCTTCCACAAATTCAAGTTCTATAATGATGCTACTCTTCTTTCATATGGGGTTTACACATTTCTTACTTTTTATTGCCTTAAGCATTGAATCATTGCTCCTTAAAAACCATCATTGGCCTACACTCATATGGAGCCCTGTGGTGTAATAGTTTCAATCCGTATGGTCAGCAGTTCAAAACCACCAGCAGCTCCTGTAACTCCCATAAACAGTTACAGTCTCAGAAACCCATAAAGGGTCACTCTGAGTCAGCACTGACCCCATGGTAGTGAGAATGAGTGAATACATGCCTGTATGTAATAGCACTTTTCTTCTCTTTATTGTCTCCTGTAATATCAAATACATTTGATTTTAAACCCAGTGTCTAATTTATTGAAAAAGCCACAGATGGTGCTGTCTTCCTCTAAAGAATGTTTATTCTTTCTTCTTCTAGGCACATGCAGAGAAGTATGATCAAATTAACGCAAATGGAGACGGAGCTAAGTCAAGCCTAGAGTGGCAGACTGACTTCTAAGGTACCTTCCTTGGATCCTGACCTCCCCGTGCTCATACCATTGTACAGTCTCCTATGTTGAATGTGGAGGAATGGATTTTAAAGCCTTCATTCATACAACCAAGAGAAACTGAATTCATTCACAACTTGAATGTCCTCAGTAGACCCCCATGCGTGATGTTGCTTCATCTAGCTGTTTGAATGCAGTCTTATGAACCCTACGCAAAGAGCGCAGCAAACTGTGACTAGTCCCTGATACACAGAAACAGTAAGACAATGGCTGCACTTT